CTGCAATTTGTTCCTACAGCAAAGAGGAGGTAGAGAAATGCAAGCAACGAGATTTCATAGAGGAAATGTTGGCTGAGATGACTGGACAGTTCCCTGCTATTAGTGAAGTGTTTGTTAAGGAACGTGACCTCTACTTATGCCGTTCACTGCAGGCTGCAGCGCAGGCAATTCCTAACCCCTTGTCTCCTTCAGGTTAGTGTTTACAAAGTGTATTCTTTTCTCACCCGCTGGATGTCTCCCACCGAGGGAGGGTGACCCAAAAAAGAAACACTTTCACCATTTACACCATCACTGTCTTGCCAGAGGCCCACAGATACGACAGTTTAGATGTCCCTCCCAAACCCCTCCTTTAGAGTGCAGGCACTGTACTTCCTACCTCCAGGGCTTATCTCTTAGTGCAGCATCAACAGTTATTAGGCTATCAGTATTAAATAAAGCTTAATGAACTTTGTTCAGTTTTTTATGTCTCATGAGATGGGGGTGCCATGGTGCAGGTGAAGGACTCTGCCCAGGGAATTGGTTTTGTTTGGAATCCAAACACGTAATATAGTTTCAGGAATAGTTAAGAAGGGTTCAAGAATCATCTAGGAACCTTTCTTGTTTTATTGGGTGAGTCATTGACAGAGATTCATGTCGAGTCTACCAGAGGCAGCAGGAAGACTTAGGAGAGGAGATGTACTCTCCAGGAGGACCAGTGAGGAAGAATTAGTGTGTGGGGGCACTGAACTAGATTTAATACTCATACTAAGCAGGTGGCAAGTCAGGCTTATGTTTATTGGTGGGAAATTTGGAGGGCTACATAATAGACTTGCAGCTGTTTAAAGAAATCACATTAAAGAAAGTGATTGTCACAGCAGAATGTATTTAAAATTGGCAGTAATAGCTACTACCTGTACTGTTTCTCATAACCTTGGATTGTTCACATCTCTGAGGTCTCAGTGAAGCTTGTTCTCTCTAAACCTGACACTGCATTCTTTATCCTCACCTACTTCGCTACATTCACTTAACCTCACCCACTTCACTACATTTACTTAACTTTGCTCACTCTACTGCATTCACTTAACCTCACCCACTCCACTGCATTCACCTAACCCCACCTACTCTTCCGTTTTTCTCACATACCACATTTTTCATATGGGGATCTTTCCTCACCTTCTGTTAAATACTCATGTCATGTATGAATTGATAAAATCCCTGGTGGATGAAACTTATTCATCAGTAACTTGCCATAACCTGCACATTACATCTTATGTACACTGGTTGGTATATTCTAACATTGTATTATTATTTTTATGGCTGGTGTTAGTGTAACTATGACTCAAGAAATCGTAATGACACGATTGCAAACAAACCATACCCCCGGCCGGGGGTATGGTTTAGTGTAACTACCTTGTACTCTATATAAAGTTATATATGATTAGCATATTGAAATAGGAAAATAAGGGTGCTGTGTCATCTCTCGTCTGAGTAAGTTAATACATCATGAGGTACAAGCATACATCCATTTTGCTGACATTTTACTATATCTTTAGGATGTTAGAAAGAAATCTTAAATACAGAATTTTATTTTGATGAGTGATAGTTTTGTTGGTTTGATTTTTCTTATTATATTTTCAAAATTCATGTTTATAACTTCAACATTTAGACAAACATGTTCAGTTTGCAAATTAGGTTTATTAATTTTTTTTAACACATTGGCCATTTTCCACCGAGGCAGGGTGACCCAAAAGGAGAGAACAACCCAAAAATACTATCATCATCATTCAATGCTTTCACCATCACTCATACATAATCACTGTCTTTGCAGAGGTGCTCAGATACAACAGTTTAGAAGTCCCTCCAAGATGCCAGTATCCCAAACCAGACAAAAAAAAAAAACATATTATATGTGACCTTGCACTCCCAGAGAAGAATGAATTTCATAAGTTATTGATTGTTTGGTAATTATTTCCTAGGAAATCTACTTTGAGGAGTTTCCTTCTGCAGAATGCTCCCTGGTTTAATTTTTTCCACTTTCACAATTTCCCACCAAGGTAGAATGACCCAAAGAGGGAAACACATTTATCATCACTTGAGCAATAGCTGTCTTGAGAAGTTTTTGGACAGTTCAAATAACCCTCTGAACTGCAATATCCCAATTCATCCTGTAGAGTTCAGGTGCTGTGAAAATAAATAGGAAATGTTTAAAGAAAACCTTTAACTTAGTTTGAACCTAATGAAGCTGAAGTATATCTTGCTTGAATATCACTTAACGAAAGGGAGATATATATCCAATAGACATGTGGAAAATACATTTCAAAAATATAGACCCAATTTCAGTATATTCTATTTCAAAATTGGGTTCATTATTTTGAAACGCCCTGTATTATAAGGAAAATATTTTACCGTACATCTGTTTACAGTTTTAACAAATAATCTCTCTGTATACATGTACTGTACTGAAGAGCTTGTTTAACTTGACTGTTGTGTTACAGGACTCTCCCCTCGAGTTGTTGTTGGTGTGGTTGGGATTGGCCATGTACCTGGCATTGTGACTCACTGGGGTAAAGTCACCGATGCTGATATTGCTCCTATCATGAGGTTAGTCAAATTTCTAATTCTCTAAGCACTTTCTCTATCTTTAGTTTTCTTGTGTCTTGTAAGTGACCTTCAGATGTGATATGCTTGAGTGTGTGTACATATTTTTCTTTTAGATTTTGTTCTTATATGTATCCCTATATTGCAAGTTGTATGAATATACTATGCCAATTAATAATTAATTTTTCACTTCAGTGGCATGAATGGATGGGTGGGTTGGTGGGCGAAGGTGGGATGGAAAACATTTCAGTCATCCAGTCACTGTGTTACAAGAAGTGTGCTGTTCTCACAGTTCAGATTATTCTCCTTCAGAGTGCGGACACTGTACTTCTCACATCCAGGACTTACCGTATTTCGCAGCCTATTAGACGCATTTTTTTTTCCCATAAAATGTCTCCAAAAACCACCCTGTGTCCTATAAACTGAAGGTCAGTGATGGGAGCTATAAGTTTGGGGTAGGGGGTGGGCTGTAGTTCTTCGGGTTGTGTCTGATGCCGAGCCATTGAAACTAAAACAAGTCTTCTAAGCTGCGAAATATGTTAAGTCTGGCTAACCAGTTTTCCAGAATCCTTTTATACAGTTCTCATTGTTAAAGTACAGTGGGTGGCACGACCCCAACATAATTTAATGTTCAAAGTAATATCCTACCCTGGTTTATTTGTCGACGAGACAGAAAGTTATACAGTAAGTCCTCGACTTAAAAACACATTGAGAATTTTCTGTATTGTGTATAATATCATTATTATATATTATACACAGTGCAGAAGGTCCCAACGTATTTGTAAATTGATGACGTTCTGTATTATGAATATTATACACAATTCAGGAGATCCCCAATAAGTTTGTAAGTCAAAGACTTGCTATACTGGCCTGGCAACTCGGTGAAGGATGTACAGTGGTCCCTCACTTATCGTAGTTCTCGGCAATCATAGATTTCGGAAATCATAGGGCTATTTTCGTATAAACATGGGCTCACTTTTCATAGGTTGACTCGTGAGTCATAGTTCATCCGGGACGTGTACCCACGGCGTGAGCCGGGGCGGCAGCCAGTCTGGCATTGTTTACCAGTGAGCGAAGGTCCCCTCACGTGCTCCAGCGAAATATTTCATAATATTCCATTTATTTTAGTGCTTGCAAGTACAGTGGACCCCTGCATACCGTTGGCATCGCATAACGTTAAATCCGCATACCGATACATTTTATCGCTAAGATTTTGCCTCGCATACCGCTAAAAAACCCGCTCAATGCTATTCGTCCGAGACGCGTCTATGTGAGGCCTGAGCCAGCCTCTCATGTTCTGCTGGTGGCATTGTTTACCAGCCAGCCTCCGCGGTAACATCCAAGCATACAATCGGAACATTTTGTATTATTACAGCGTTTTTGGTGATTTTATCTGCAAAATAAGTGACCATGGGCCCCAAGAAAGCTTCTAGTACCAACCCTGTGGTAAAAAGGGTGAGAAATATTATCGAAATACTGTGGTACCATGGTCAACTGCTGATGCTGCTGTAGCACTGTCAGCTGCTGCTGCTGCTGCTGTAGCACTGTCAGCTGCTGCTGCTGCTGCTGTAGCACTGTCAGCTGCTGCTGCTGCTGCTGTAGCACTGTCAGCTGCTGCTGCTGCTGTACCACTGTCAGCTGCTGCTGCTGTAGTACTGTCTGCTGGTGCTGTAGCACTGTCTGCTGCTGCTGTAGCACTGTCTGCTGCTGCTGTAGCACTGTCAGCTGCTGCTGTAGCACCGTCAGCTGCTGCTGCTGCTGTACCACCATCAGCTGCTGCTGCTGCTGTAGCACTGTCTGCTGCTGCTGTAGCACTGTCTGCTGCTGCTGTAGCACTGTCAGCTGCTGCTGTAGCACTGTCAGCTGCTGCTGCTGCTGCTGTAGCACCGTTGTTGGTGTGGCTTATTGAGAATACCAAGAAACAATTAACCCCAGAGGGTTAGCCACCCAGGATAACCCAAAAAAGTCAGTGTCATTGAAGACTAACTTATTTCCATTGGGGTCCTTAATCTTGTCTCCCAGGATGCAACCCACACCAGTCGACTAACACCCAGGTGAACAGGGAAAAATGCCTGGAACTAGTGCTCATATTGGTGAATTTAAAGCCAGCAAAGGTTGGTTTGAGAGATTTAAGAATTGTAGTGGCATACACAGTGTGATAAGGCCTGTTCTGGAAGAAAATGCCAAACAGGACCTACAGTACTCAGGAGGAAAAGGCACTCCCAGGACACAGTGTCTCATCAGTCATTGCTGCATCTTCAATAAAGGTAAGTGTCATTTATTCTTCATTTAGTAGAGTAGTACATGCACAATATATATTGTGCATGTACTACTCTACTATTGTGCATGTATCCTTCTCTTTGTGTGTAGGAAAATGTATATTTCATGTGGTAAAATTTTTTTTTTCATACTTTTGGGTGTCTTGCACGGATTAATTTGATTTCCATTATTTCTTATGGGGAAAATTCATTCGCATAACGATAATTTCGCATAACAATGAGTTCTCAGGAACAGATTAATATCGTTATGCGGGGGTCCACTGTACTAAATAAGCTACCGTGGCTCCAAAGAAAGCTCCTAGTGCCAAGCCTGTGGTAAAGAAGGTGAGAAATACGATTGAATTTAAGAAAAACATCATTGAACAATATGAAAGTGGTACAAGTGCGGCCGAACTGGCCAAGATGTATAAGAAACCCTACACAACCATATGTTCTATAGTGGCCAAGAAAAAGGAAATCAAGGATGCTGTTGTTGCAAAGGGGGGTAACTATGCTGACAAAAATGAGATCACCAGTACTCGAAGAGGTTGAGAAGTTATTATGGGTGTGGATAAATGAGAAACAATTAGCAGGAGATACTCTTATGACTTCGATTATTTGTGAAAAGGCTAGGCAGTTGCACAATGATCTGGTAAAGAAATTGCCTGCAACTAGTGGTGATGTGAGTGAATTTAAGGCCAGCAAAGGTTGGTTTGAGAGATTTAAGAACTGTACTGGCATACACAGTGTGGTAAGGCATGGTGAGGCTGCCAGTTCAGACCACAAGGCGGCTGAAAAATATGTGCATGAATTCCAGGAGTACATAGAGGCTGAAGGACTGAAACCTGAACAAGTGTTCAATTGTGATGAAACAGGCCTCTTTTGGAAGAAAATGCCAAAGAGGACCTTCATTACACAGGAGGAAAAGGCAATGCCAGGACACAAGCCTATGAAAGACAGGCTGATGCTAATGTTCTGTGCTAATGCTAGTGGGGATTTCAAAGTGAAGCCATTAGTAGTGTACCATTCTGAAAATCCCAGGGTGTTCAGGAAAAAACAATGTTATGAAAAGTAAATTGTGTGTGTTTTGGAAATCTAATGGTAAGGCATGGGTCACGAGGAAAATTTTCGTCGAGTGGTTCAATGAAGTGTTTGGCCCTAGTGTGAAGAATTACCTCCTGGAAAAGAAATTGGATCTCAAGTGCATGCTAGTAATGGACAATGCACCTGCTCATCCTCCAAACTTGGATGACCTAATTTTCAAGGAGTTTGGGTTCATCACAGTAAAGTTCTTGCCCCCGAATACCACTCCTCTCCTCCAGCCCATGGATCAGCAGGTCATTGCAAACTTTAAAAAACTCTATACCAAAGCAATGTTTCACAGATGCTTGACTGTGACCATAGACACTCACTTGACCCTAAGGGAATTTTGGAGAGAACACTTCAGCATCCTCCATTGCATAACCCTTATAGGTATGGCTTGGGAGGGAGTGACTACCAGGACTTTGAACTCTGCCTGGAGAAAATTGTGGCCAGATTGTGTCGACAAGAGGGATTCTGAAGGGTTTGGGACTGACCCTGATGAGCCTATGTCTGTTGTAAAATCAATTGTGGCACTGGGGAGTTCCATGGGGTTGGATGTGAGTTTGGAGGATGTGGAAGAATTGGTAGAAGACCACAACGAAGAGCTCACCACTGAGGAACTGCAAGAGCTTCAGCAGGAACAGCAACAGATCGCAGCTCAGAATCTTGCTGCAGAGGGGAGGAAGAGAGATTGGAAGATGGTGCCTTCTTCAGAAATTAAAGAGATTTTTGCTATGTGGGGTAAGATGGAAAAATTTATGGAGAAACATCACCCTGACAAGGTTGTTGCAAGCCATGTTGGCAACATGTACAGTGACAAAGTTTTTGGCCCATTTTAGGGAAGTTTTAAAGAGACGCCAGAAACAGAGCTCTCTGGACAGTTATTTTGTGAGACAGGACTCCAGTGACTCTCAAGGTGGTCTAGTGGCATTAAGAAACAGAGAAGAGAAGCAAACCCCCGAAAAGCAATTGGTACCTGAGGTGTTGCTGGAAGGGGATTTCCCTTCCAAACTATAAACAATCCACTCTCTCTCCTCCTCCAGTCTCCCATACACTAAGAAGAATCTCCAATAAAGGTAAGTGTTATGCTGTTAATGTTTCATTCATCATTTCTCATTGTATTGTTTATGTACTACATGTATATTTCATGTAAAAATTTTTTTTGTTTTAATACTTCTGGGTGTCAGGAACGGATTAATTGTATTTACATCATTTCTTATGGGGAAAATTGACTCGCAAATCGTAGATTTCATTAATAGTAGCAGCTCCAGGAACGGATTAACTACGAAAAACGAGGGACCACTGTATTAGGATTTCCTGTGGCTACTGACTGCATCCTAAGTGTTTCAGGGCTTGTGTGGTGGAAGGTTGTGTGTGTGTGGTCTCCCTGTACTGGGTGGTCTTGAGGACTGAGTTTGTCGGACATTTTAGGCTATTGATGAATTAATATGGGCATGAAAAAGTTGCTCACACAAGAGACAATTTCAGAGATCGTTGGATTACATAATGCAGGCTGTCAAAAAAAAAAAAGAGAGGAAAATGGAAGAAGTACAAAAGAATTGCATAGTAAAAGGGTTAGTTGGTGTGTTCGTCTATGTGTTAACATTCGATGGTAATAATAATAATAATAATAATAATAATAATAATAATAATAATAAATGGGAAGTACAATGCCTGCACTCTAAAGGAGGGGTTCGGGATATTAGCAGTTTGGAGGGATATGTTGTGTATCTTTATAGGTATATGCTTCTAAGCTGTTGTGTTCTGAGCACCTCTGTGAAAACAGTGATTATGTTTGAGTGAGATGAAAGTGTTGAATGATGATGAAAGTATTTTCTTTTTGGGGATTTTCTTTCTTTTTTGGGTCACCCTGCCTCGGTGGGAGACGGCTGACTTGTTAAAAAAAAAAAATTAATAATATAGTAACAATTGCTCTGGAGTGCTTTAAATGTCAGGTAACAAAGAGATATTAATATTATTATTATTATTACCATTGACATGCCTTGTTCACTGACTTTAATCATTTCTTAAGATGCCATGAGACAGAGAATGTTAACACTGACGAACACACCAACTAACCCCTTTACTGTGAATTTCTTTTGTACTTCTTCTATTTTCCTCTTTTTTCCTCTTCCAAGTGCTGCTGCTCTTCTATCTTGTACTATGGGGTGCACAATAAAGTACAAATATGCAGTCTTAGAGATTTTAAAACTAGTGTACTGAGTGGTTATAGGAAGGAGATTGAGAGACTTGACACTGAGACGCTGCATTGCCTGTTTCCGTGACTCAGGTTCTCGTACAGCATGCAATACTGACTCGTTGGGGAGAGCCTGTCATAACCCAGAGTTGTCAGCAAACGAGTACGTCAGTAAGCAAGGAAAGGCTGTAATGGTAATATTCATGGGAAGTGCTGTGCATATAGTAAAGGTCATACAGTGCCTTGGGAATAAGTTTTCAGATTTGAATCCAAGGAAGATGAGCATGACTGTTGAGAATGCCTTCACTTTAAGGGAGGGGTTTGGCATATTGGCTGTTTGGAGTGACATCTAAACTGTCATATATGGGCACCTCTGCAAAGACAGTGATTGTGTGAATGATGGTGAAAGTGTTTCTTTATTGGGTCACCCTGCCTCAGTGGGAGACAGCTTATGTGTTGAAGTAAAATATATATATATATATTTTTCATTTCAGAATTCCTCCTCAGTCTCTCTCGAGTAAAATTTTGAAAATTACGTTCAAAATGTCCATATACGGTCTTCTTGGTTACGGCGTGTACAAGTGTTTACCAACTACGGCAAAGTCTGCAATCAATTCATCTGTCCAGTCAGCAGTCACATCTGTTTCAAGTGTTTTACCAATATGGAGAAAATAAGAGAAGGTAAGAATAATGATAGTGTTTATGATGGTAAAAGTTTCTTTTTTGGGTCATCCTATCTTGGTGGGAGATGGCCAATGTTAAAAAAAAAGTCTTGCTGTAAATGTTATAAAAATCTAAAGTAATTGGCATATGTAATGAATAGTTAAATGTAAAGGATATGGAAAAAGGATTTGAATATATTTGTATGTTCTCTAGAAGTAGAATATATGTGTTCATTAATGTAAAACCAAAATCTCGCCATATTGTTAAAGTGAGAAATTGTGTTACAGGAGTTAAACTGACTTTGTACTTACTGTGGTTAAGTTGATATGGTCGAGGGCATACAATTTTAAGGATACAAGTTTAGTTTCCAGCACTTCTTATGCAACATGAGAGCTATGTTACTGTAGTTGAGACATTAGTACAAGCTGAAGGATACAACTTGAGTTAAATATTATAATTTCAGCAAAGGTAGTTGGTGAGGCAAGCGAGAGTGCTTATCTTAGTGGGTAATTCATTTAGAAAATGATAATGTTCAAATTTAAGTGCAACAGATTTATTTACTAACTCACCAGAGAATAAACAGAAGGCACTGAAAAAACCCATGGCTCAACTATCTCTGTAGAGACAAAACCCACTATCGCAATATTGTATAATGAAGTGTAGTGTGACCTAAGTGTAAGTAGAAGTAGCAAGACATACCTGAAATCTTGCATGTTTATGAGACAGACAAAAAACACCAGCAATCCTACCATCATGTAAAGTTAGAATATATATTATCTAATTTATTTATTACAGGACTTCTGAGTTTTCTCTAGATTTTTTTTTTTAAGTTGTCCATCTCCCACCTAGGCAGGGTGACCCAAAAAGAAAGAAAATCCCCAAAACTAAAATATCTTCATTTTGGTAGTTTTCTTTCTTTTTGGGTCACGCTGCCTAGGTGGGAGACGGCTGACTTGTAGATTTTTTTTTTTTTTCAGCAAGTCGGCCGTCTCCCACCGAGGCAGGGTGACTTGTAGATATGTGTACCATATTATTGTTAGTAATTTTTATACCCATAATTAAATTGTTTGTTCTTTCTTCTTCAGAAGTTATTGAAGAGACCACTGAATCAACAACAGGTGAACATAGTACAAGTTCATTGCAAACAAAAGATGTGGAGAAAGCTGTGACTCCTCAGTCTATAACACTTTCACAGAATATAGTTGCAAAGAAAATGGCCATAGTCAACCAAGAAATAGAACATATCTTTAATTCTGAGAGTGTTTTTAATGTAAATAAATTTGAAAGATCATACCATAAGCACAAAGTTTTGCATGGGAATGTCGATACCGAATATAGTAGAAGTGGTGATGAACTGATGAGCTGTCAAAGCAAGCAGGAGGTTCAACAGACTAGTAGCCTCAAGCAAGTGTTGAATGTCCAAGAGAGTTTTCCATCATTGCTTAATAGCAAGACATGCTCAGCTGTTTCTTGTTTAAGTGACAATCATCTTGTCTCAAAAGAGTCTGATGCTACTGCTTTTTCTGGAGAAACTGGTGGGTTGTGCATTGCTTCCAGTTCTAATGTCAGTACTGATGTTTGTGAGAAGGATATTTTTAATTTCAGTTTAGAAGAAAGTGCTTTAAAGTTAGATCAGACATTTGAACAACCTGCAAAAAAGAAAAAAATGTCCTGTTTGAAAAGTTTATCTGCAGTGAAGGAAATAACATTGCATCAGAGTGAAGATGAATATGATCATGTCACAACTGGTCTAGTTTATGCAGTTACATCATTTCCAGGTTCTGGCATAGACCAAAATGATTATATGAATGGCTTAATTGAGGGCTGCAGGTGTATTGGGGTTTGTTCTGAAAGCTGTGCTTGCACTCAAGTTAATGGGTTCCCTTATGAAGATGGGAAGCTGAGGCTTGATTATGAATCTAGGCCAATATTTGAGTGCAATGATGATTGCAGTTGTTCAGAAAATTGCCCAAATCGTCTTACACAACATGGCCCGCTTACTGGGTTAAAAATTAATTTGATTCCAGAAAAGGGATATGGTGTTATAACATCACATTTTATTCCTAAACATGCCTTTGTATGTGAATATGCTGGGGAGTTTATTAGTGTAGAGGAAGCTCAGAGGAGATTTTCTAAACAAGGTGACAAAGAGTCAAATTATATCCTGATCTTAAGGGAGCACGCAGTAAGTAGTACTTCTCGACCATGGATTACAATAATTGATCCAACTGTTGTTGGAAACATTGGCCGTTACATTAATCACTCTTGTGATCCTAATCTAGTGGTGGTACCTGTTAGAGTGCACAACATGGTTCCCATTGCAGCCCTGTTTGCCAAGAAAGATATTGTTTCTGGTGAGGAGCTTTGCTATGATTATAATACTGAGAATAAATTTGTGGTAACACATTCTCTTGTGGATAATAGCAGTATGAATGTCAGAGAAGCTGATTGTTCATTAAGTGTAGAGATAGCCACAGGAGAGAGAGTAGTTTTGCCTTCATGTAGCAGGAGTGTAAAAGGTACTTCTCCATTGCAACTCGATCGTACTTCCCATAAAACTGTAAGTAAGTTATGCTTGTGTAAAGCAAAGAACTGTAGACGTTTCTTACCTGTTAATGATACATTATTTTGACTATGAAAGTTTGAGAATATTTTTATGTAATTGTTGAAATGTAGCGAGATATATTTCTTAACATTTGTAAATCTAGTTTTTCTTGGCTTTTTTTTCTTATCGCTTTTACAGGTTTTCTTTATAATGGTGAAACAAAAAAAAAAGATTGTTGTATAAATTTAATATATGTAATAGTTTTAAAATATTTTTATCTATACCCACAGCATTAAAGTGTTATTACCACATTTTTATCTCATTTAATTTCTGTTGTGTTTATCTTTACATCCAGTTACGTACTTGCACACTTGTCTTCTGTTGCTGACCTCCATTTACTCCAATTAAAAATGATTGATTTCCTTTATCTCACCCCACATGCAGCATTTTTTAACACATTGCAACTTAGTATGTTTTCTGCTGCCCTTCCGAGTTTAGTGCTTCAGCTTAAATGTAATATTAATGCTATTCTTTTCCTTTATTTCCCCCAAACTTGCAGCATTTTTCTAATATATAATGCAACTGCTCTATAGTAAAACTTAGATCTAGATGACAATTATTCCCATTTCTGTTTTTGGAGGAAATTTTGTTTCCATTCCAATTTCCTTTAAGAGTTGGATAAAATAGTTTTCTCCAGACTCGTGAAGTAAAGTGCAGTACGATGCAAGTTGTGGTGACTCTCGAAACCAACCATACCAACAACTTCCACACCATTGTATTACAGTATTACTAAATATTTCTTGGTTATTACTTCTTCCAATACATTTGTCTTTGATGAATGTTTGTTTAGTATGGTTATGGCGAGTTCTTGTATATTTGGTACAATTTGGTTAGGAAATATGACCTATTTTTACCACCGTTGACAGTAGGTGTTGATAGGCAACTGTGGTGGTTGATTCTGCCTGCCACATGTTTGCACAGGTATTGTACAGGGCCACATTAATCCTCTCCATGCACCTGCATATCAACAGGTAACAACCATTACAGGTCGGCCATCACTAATCCAGCAATTTGTTATCCAGTTCCATCAGTAATCTGGCACTAATTTCGGCTAGCATAAGTTCAAATTTCATCATTATACTAACTCAGAAATTGTGTAGATGGTTGTAAATCTACAGCAGCAAGCCAGTGGAGGAGAAAGCAGTTATGAAAATGAGGAAGATGTAGCAGAAAGAGTCTAGTGATAGGTTAATTAAGTGTATTTTAACCTAACCACTCTGTAATCTGACAAACTCACTAATCTGGCACACTACAGGTCCCAGTGATGCTGGATTAGTGATGGCTGACCTGTAGTACATTTTGTAAGGAATTGTTATATTTTTTTTTTCCGATGTTGATGTGTTGGCATGTGATTGTGGTAGTAAATTGAGGGACCAACGAGCATAATCATTTTTTTTATTGGTTCAATTTCAATGGAATTATTACTGTGAATTAAGCAGCATTTGAAACCTAGACACTGTGTTTGTAGTGACTTTTTTCCTTACAGTTAGATAAAAAAAAAATAGCGCCCCATTTTATAGGGCTTAAAACTATCCCTCCACTACAAAATTGGTAAGACTTGCAGTGTTCTAATTGACATCAGATGAAAGATAACGAGTTAGGTAATCTAATTACGTGGACGTTTGAGTGAAATGTCAGATTGCATTATACAAATTGTTGAAATATTTTTTTTTTAAGGACTTTTTGGGAGAAAAATTCAATAAAAACAAAACGGTAAAACATATCGCAAACCTTCTACGTAATTCAATAGAACTATCATTCCTCAGTAACGTGTGAAAAAATCATGATGCTCCTATAAATACTCTGCATGAGAGGGAAAGTAATGTCAATAACTTATTCCTTAGTTATATATAATTATGTTTTCTGTAAAACTCTACGGTTATGGCGCTCCAAATCTGAGCGTGTTGCACCCCTCCATCCTTTTTCACAGCCCTCAGGCAACTGAGCCACATCCACTCTGTGCTCTTCACTTTAGTCCTCACAGAAGTTGCCATGTAGAGTATTTAGAATGAAACAATCATAAAAATCGTAATTTTCGGAGTAAAAAAAAAATAATTATCACATGTCCTTCTCATGACAGCAAGAACAAAAAATTACATTTTTGGACAAGCATTCTTAGAAATATGATAGAAACAAGCTGATTGCATCTACATGTTGCTAGAATTATGCACTATTTTTTGATAAGAAAACATTTTTTCCATAATTTTTCAGTTTAAATTTTTTTATCACTCCAAAAATGCTCGTTGCTCCCTTAAAGTACTACCATACAATTGTACAGGGTCTGCTAGTCCTCTGCATACACTTGCATATCAAGTTGGAAACCTAATCGTTTTTTTCCAGTATGTCCTTCAGTCCAAATAGCTATTTCATGTAACTCATAGGTTTTCAGGAACATAACCCACACGTTAACTGGATTTCTTACATACGTAAATTGTGATTAACCATGGCATGTAAAGCAAGTGCTGGTGTTCAAATGAAGCATGTGAATATAACTCGCCTGACATGGAATAAAAGTAGTTCTGGGTCACCACTATGACCATGGCAAAAGAACCTCATCTATCCACTATAAGATAGGTAAGTAAAATTAATGTGCTTTTTACCCCTCTATTTTCATTGTGGGTTCAATGCATTGTGCAGTGTTTATTATATCTGTAAATTGTGCAAACAGTCCTGAAATATGTCTAGTGAAGTCCTGTTTTTGCTACTGTTTATATATTCGGAATTACCTGACATCTGTCATTTTTGGACACCATCTCCCTGCCTATTAGTCTGTTGTATCAAGGTTTTACTTTATAATAAATAAAATTTTAGGATCTGGTGAAAGTTAGTAATAGAATTCTCAAAAAAGCAGTCAGAGGTCTGTTAGTATATTTTTTTTTTGTAATGGCTGTAAGTGCAGAGTGATGCATTCATGACATCTTTTAATAATTTTTTTGCCATTGATGAACTGAAAAAAAGATGTTTGCTAATTAATGGAGGATTTAATAAATGCTGCACTTGTGCAACATTAGGGTATCTTCATTCAGGAAATGTTTTGCTAACCAGTGGCGGCTTCAGTCTAGTGCAGAGAAAAGTGGAAGATTAGGAGGAATTTGAGGTAATCAGTCCCTCAGCCTGGAGCCAGTGTGTTCAGTCCATCAGTGGGGGATTTATTATTATTTGTAATAGTAATGTGCTGCATCTTGTAAATGCCATTCCAAAAATTGTGTTTTCCTTTAAAGTTTCTTATTTTTTTTAGGTCCCCTTTGCCTCCCAACAATCTGGGTCCACACAGATTTGGCACATTTTTTGTAAATATAAGAATTTTCATCTAATCCTGTTTTGTTAACCCTTGGAAAGTACAGTACTTTCAACTTTTATAGGTATTACATGGTACTGCTGGCTTATAGTATATGGTATTTGATATTTGTTGATGCATGTACAGTACATGAATCGGTAGCTACGTGGTTGGGAAATACAGTACATAGTTCACTTATTGTAGATAACTACACTGTGTATACTTTTTAGCCTTCCAGTATGTTGACTGTATACTAATTTTTTTGCAAGTTTATTATTGAATGTTTGTTCTGCCAGTGTTTGCCATGAATGAAATACTGCACCCTAATGTAACTCCTATT